CAGTAACTGGACAGAATAAATTAAAGTTTTCTACACTCCTAGACACTATAATTGCACAAAAAATAGTTTATAAATGCAAAAAAAGTGCATTTAGCATGATATGTCTCCTTTAAACATTTGTATGTAAATATGTTGTTTTTGCTCACCCAGGTCACTGATGTGCTCTCGGAGCTGTTTGAAGGCCGAGCCGAGGCCCTTATTTTGGGTTGAGATTTTCGAGGCGTCCATCACAAAGGCCACACAGTGGATTTTATCCTTCAGGCTTGGCGTCTTCACGTAGCCCACTGTTTCTGATCCCACCGGTTTATCTGGACTGAACTGAGAACAAAGAATCTGAGACTATAGGGCTGTGTTTCAATTCAGGGTCTGCAGCCTACCTAGACCACGGCCCATAGAGGCCACAGCCTGCGCGGTTCAGGTAGGCTCTGAAATGAGACAGTCTAGTCCTGTGCTTTTCAAAGTGTAGATGAACATTTACATTTGATTAGTTCTTTGAGTCAGTTTAATTCAAAATGACTTACACAGCTAAAACACAAAAATGATTATAACTCGGTCCATATCATCTCACCTTGTGCCCTTCAGGTACGTGTCCTTTAATGACTGACAGGACGTCGTGAAGGGTCAACCCGGTCAGCTCTCCGTCCCCCAGACCCATTATATCACACAGCACCAGCCCAGTATTCTCTCCCCCCTTCTGAGTCCGTATGTTGAAGGACTGCAGCTGTGAGAACTAAAGGTTAGTGAGGCAAAAAGGCTAAAAACATAAAACTCAAACAAGACAGAATCAGGAGGTGGACAAAAGTGTTGGTACCCCTCGTTTAATGAAAGAAAAACCCACAATGGTCACAAAAATAACAAGAATCTGACTAAATAATAAATAAAAATTATATAAAAATGAACAAATCAAAGTCAGAAATTTCTTTACAACCATGGTTCAACAGAATAAAAAAAGAAAAGAAAAGAAAACTCATAAAACAGGCCTGGACAGAAATGATAGTACTCCTGAAAATAATGTGATCAAAAGATCATGTTAAATCAAAGTGTGTCCATTAATTAGCATCACAATCTTGTAATCAGTCAGTGGGCCTGTATATAGGGCTATAGATACTCACTGTGCTGTTTGGTGACATGGTGATTACCACACTCAGTATGAACCAGAGGAAATGAAGGAAAGATTTGTCACAGGATATTAGAAAGAAAATTATAGACAAGCATGTTAAAGGTAAAGGTTATAAGACCATCTCCAAGCAGCTTGATGTTCCTGTGACTACAGTTGCACATATTATTCAAAAATTTAAGATCCTTGGGACTGCAGCCAACCTCCCTGGATGTGACCACAGGAGGAAAACTGATAACAAATCAAAGAGACGGATAATCTGAATGGCAAACAAAGAGCTCACAAAAACTTCTAAAGAGATTAAAGGTGAACTTCAAGCTCAAGGAGCATCAGTGTCAGATTGCACCATCTGTCATCGTTTGAGCCAAGGAGGAAACCAAATTTTAAAAAAAAGCCAGACTGGAATTTGCCAAACAAGCCACAAAGCTTCAGGGAGAATGTCCTATGGACAGATGAGACAAAAATTTAACTTTTTGGCAAGACGCATGCGCATCAGTGAAGCATATGAAGAAAAGAACACTGTCCCTACTGTGAAACATGGAGGAGGCTCTGTTKTGTTCTGGGGCTGCTTTGCTGCATCTGACACAGGGTGTCTTGAATCTGTGCAGGGTACAATGAAATCTCAAGACTATCAAGGGATTCTAGAGAGAAATGTGCTGCCCAGTGTCAGAAAGCTTCYTCTCAGTCGCAGCTCATGGGTCTTGCAACAGGATAATGACCCAAAACCCAGCTAAAAACACCCAACAATGGCTAAGAGGAAAACACTGGACTATTCAGAAGCAGTGATAAATACCACAAAGTGATACTTAAGTAAAAGTACAAGTATCTTACCAAAATATTACTTTGGTAAAAGTTAAAGTCTCCTTTAAGAATTTTACTTGAGTAAAAGTCTTAYAGTATCTGATATTTTTTGTACTTAAGTATTAAAAGTAAAAGTATTGATTTAAAATGAACAGTTAGATTTTCTCTGACATTTAGTGACCTCCCATAAATATGCAGAAATGACTGTATCATATTAAAATAATTTATTTGTTAAATTTAGGATGCACTTGTCTAGCTGTTTCAGTTTATATCAAGGYTTCCCAAACCTTTTCTCCAAAATGAAAATCTATCCGAGGGCTGCGACCAAATGCAATAATATAATTCATGAAATACAAATACTTCTTAAGTACAGTCTTTTTATTTTATTGATTATGTCCTGCTGGAGTGTGACATGATTTGTGTACAAATTTTACATATTTATACTTCTCATTCAACCACAATTAAATTCACTCTAAGAGGCACAATTTATATGTGTAGTATTTTTTGCAGTAACACACTGGAATGAAATCAAGCAAAAAATGAAAAAAGTAAAGACTTTCTACTTCTTACCTTTTTATAAAAAATGGAAGGAGTAGAAAGTACAGATAATTGTGTGAAAATGTAAGAAGTAGAAGTAAAAAGTAAGCTGAAAAATAATTACTCAAGTAAAGTACAGATACCCAAAAACTCTACTTAAGTACAGTAACAAAGTATTTGTACTTTGTTACTTTACAACTTTGTTCTGAKGTGGCCTTCTATGAGGCCTGATCTAAATCCTGTTGAGCATGTTTGGAAGGAGCTGAAACATGCCGTCTGGAAAAGACACCCTTCAAACCTGAGACACCTGGAGCAGTTTGCTCATGATGAGTGGACCTGCTGAGAGGTGCAGAATTCTCACTGACTTACAGGAATTATTTGAGTGCCGCAAAAGCTTGTGCAACAAAATATTAAGGGTACCATCACTTCTGTCCAGGCCTGTTTCATGAGTTTGATTTTTCTTTTAAATTCTGTTGACGCATGGTTGAAAAGCAATGTCTGAATTTCATTTGTTCATTTAGATAGAATTTTTATTTATTATGACTTTTGTCAAATTCAAGTTATTTCTGTGACCATTGTGGGTTTTTCTCTCATTAAACAAGAGGGACCAACATRTTTGTCCACATGTGTATTTGTCTTAATACCTTTTTGGTGAAGCTGGTGGAGGAGGAGAAGCCCACCATGGCACGATTGGTGACTCTTCCATGAAACACAGACTGGACTGAGCTGATGAAGCTGGATTTTCCTGAAGAAACTGGGCCGAGGAGGAGAACCCGGGCCTGGGTCACCTCTTTACAGCTCGGCCTGTAGGAGCTCACAGTTTTCATCAGGTTCTCCTTTTGCCTGGATGGGAATTCATAAATGAATTATAGATGTATTTAAAAAAAAAGAAATTTTTAATTTATTGTGAAAATATTCACACAAATGGACTCACTCCATTGTCCACAGGACTTCTCTCCACGGGGAGTTCAAGTTTGATAGGAATCCTGAAAACGCAGAAAGAGTTCATAAGGATTGTTAGAAAAACAACATTTCAAGGTTATTTTTGAACTATATCAAACCATGCAGCTTGTAAAATTTTACTACTGTAGTTTTCCCAGATATGTCAATATAATGCAGGTCCACACTCAATGTAAACAAAGCACTTTTGTATGTGTACTTTACACAACAAATTTCAATGTAAATATGCTCCAGTACATGTAAATTGTATGTCAAACTCAAGGCCTGTGGGCCTTATGTTTCCAATGAGAGCTTAAAAGATGTATCAATGTATTAAAATAAGCGTGTAATGCTTTATCTACCTAACAGTCGTCCCTGAAATTAATTAAAAGCCTTTCAACATTTTTTTTTACTTTTGTAAGGGTTAGATTTCAAAATAAAAGCCCCCCGGCAGCATCTGGATATGTTTCAAGGCAGAAATTACACTATTTTTGCCCGCCAGTGAAACAAAGATTTGAGGGGTTAACGTCATCATTAACAATAAACTACATCTCCCATAATGCATGTTGATTATTTTACCAGGAAAATGAGTACTAGGTGGAGGTGCACAGTGTTCAAAATTAGCTGGCGAAATCTGCCTTGTCTCCATTTAGCGACAGTTTTTGCCAGCTATTGCTGCAGCCTAGGTGGTAAATTCCCACTTCCCAGTCATGAATTTAAAGTGGAGCGCTGCCTCCAGTGGGAATTCCCTGTTTGAAAGTGAGAGTTCAGAATAGACCATTTTAGAGTTAAAAATCTGCTTGTGTGAAGCGGGCCAAACATGTTTTTTTTTATGGATAAATGCTGAGGTTGGTAAGGAAACGGCATTGGAATTGATCAAATTCATCTGGTAAATTTATACCATTCTAAAGACCCAATGTACGTTTAGTCAGTCGTAGCACTCTTTATTTAATGTATGTAAGAGGACATAAAAACACTGTTTCTATGCAGGAAATACCACATCAAGCTCAGTTATTGTTKGTGGTGCTCAGCTGTAGTAACGAGGWATGTGATGTTTCGTGTTTGGTCAAAGTTAATTACAACTGGCTCTTTGAGGCCCACCATCAAGTCATGTGGCTCTCGGTGAAAGTGAGTTTGACACACCGGAAATTTTGTTGACACATTTTCAGTCCTTTATGTTGTAATGTCAGACATTTACCTGGGACTTCTTTAGTCTTTTCCTCCTTATTTTCTGTTGTACCGATGGTTTTGGGCTGATTGATGGCAGCCCGGGTGGAACCAAAAATAGGCTGTGTATAAGCAGGAGTAGTGGAAGTTGAAGTGGCAGTAAAAGGACGTCCAAAAGTAAAGCCACAACCACTGCTGAAGAGGAAACAAATTCAGACATTTAAAGTTAACAGTGATGGTAGAATAAGGATTATTGCAGCTTGTATTAAAACTGCAATGACAAGTAAAAAAGTCATCAATTAAACTTGTTCCACATTTTAAAACAAGAAGCAGTTTTGTCATTAAACAGGGTTCACATTTGGATCCAGCTTTTGATACTGGAGCTCTGTTTAAAAAAAAAAGCTTTCAAAATTGAATTGAAAAACAATTATTAGATCAAGTCAGCAAATAATAAGAATGAGAATTAGTTCACCACAAACACCACACTGTAAAATTTAGTTATTTCGTCATATTTTAGTTTTACCTTGTTCTTTGATCCATGTTTTTATGGTTTTTCACATCTAACTTTGAGTTTGTTTCCTCTGTAACCTCCTCTGCCCTCACACTAAACCCTTCTTTCCTAATAAAACACACACACCTGTCACGCGTTGCTCATTTACTCACTCAGACTCTTTATTTCCACTTTTTTTCTTCTTAAATCCTTCTTGTTTCCTCATCAAGATTTTTCTTACCCTGGGAAGTATAGAGACTTTCTTCACCCACATGTTAAAGTAAAGGAAYACCGAGCTGCCTAAGTTGGTAAGAATTTTAATTAATTCTGTTTCCTCTCCTGTGTTGTTTTTTTTTCTTTTCTTTTCTTTTCTTTTTTACTGCCAGAACATCACAAACTATTTTACGTTTAATTATAGTAAATTCACCTACGTGCGTTTGTCTTCAGCGTTAATCTCCATGACTTCTTGATGTCAACACAGCGAAGCAAACAGCAAAATGTCTCTGGACAGAAAGAACATTGTTGAGTTGGTGTATTCTGATGTTTTCTGAGGAAAAGAAAGTGAAACTGAAAGAACAAACGTTTATTTGTTGTGACTGGGCGTTGGTGGCTCATTTATAGTCAGATGCTCAATAAAAACAACATAAATACCAGGCTGTTTGGTAACATTGAATGTTGACACTATGATTTAAATTGTTGTGTTACAGTTGTTGCAGACATAACAATTAAAAACAGAAACAGCTGTGTGRTTATGGGGTGGGGTTTCAGCTCTTCTTAAGCAAATTTTATTTAAACAAATTTACAAATAATTTGTTTACTAGAATGTCTTTAAAAATTTCATCTGTTCCAAAGGAAAAACAGATGGAAAAGTAATAAACTAAAAAAAAAATTCAAGCTCGCTCTTGTTTTTTTTATTTCCTTTTTATTTTTAACGCTGCTGTTGTTTAAACTCTCTCTGGACACAAGAGGGCGCTGTTGTCTTAAAGTTGAGGCTGAAGCTTTTTACCTGTTGAGTGACAGCAGGGGTCAACCTGCGGCTACACTTTTGTCCTTTTTTATTTACACGCACACACGCACGCACACACACACACACACACACACACACACACACACACACACACACACACAC